AACAAACACCACTGCTTTGCACATGGATGCCTTGCCCAAGCCAGGGCTACAAGAGCCGCATTGTTAGATGCATTGTATAATACTTAAATAAGGTACCTCTGCAAATGAATTATTCTTAGTTATTTTTTCCCCCTTTTTTTTAATTTATTTCTTCCGAAAGTGTACTTTCTATCACATATAATTCCACTGTCTTAGTTAGGCCTAGGCCTAGTCTTATGCCTCATCGTCCCCCGCTACACAGTACATCAGGAGCCCCTCCCCCATACCTGTCTCTTATACACATCTAGATGTGTATAAGATCATATTGCTGTACTATATACTCCAACATCACTGGCGCATGGTAACAACCAACTGACTGCAGACCATTTCCGGTCACACATTACTCTCCATAACACAGCACCCCCTAGTTCCGTCACCTCTGGGTATAATATATATTATAATGAGTATTAATAAGAAGTTTTCAGATTTTGTTCTATATTTCTATTGATAGGTATTGCTACTGGGTATCTTCATTGCGGTGGCTACAAGCCCTTCTGACGCCACTTCATGTAAAAAATGTCGACCATATTGGACTAACTACGGAAATAGTTGCTATCGAGTCTTTAAATCATTAAAGACTTGGAACGAGGCACATGTGGCTTGCTCCTACCTAGCCAAAAATAGTGATCTCGTCTCCATCGAAAGTGATTCTGAAAACAATTTTGTTTCTACGCTTTCCAATTCATACACATACTGGATTGGCTTGATGAGGTCTGGCAGCAGTTGGCGCTGGTCGAACTACTCAACATCTCGGTACAGAAAATGGGGATCCGGTGAACCCAATAACGTTGGAGGAAATGAAAATTGCGTTCATACGAAAAAGAATGGCAATTATCTCACCTGGAATGACATTCGTTGTAGCGCTAGGTTATCTTACGTATGCGAAATGCCCCCGTCATATTAAATCCCCAAAAATGTTTTGATGTTATGATATTTTTTTTTGTAGAACCTGTTTAGCATTAAATTTAAATGAGATAGTAAATCTTGTCTTGACAATTGGATTACCCCGGTTTATTCTTGGGATTTAGTTAGATATATTCAATAAACTATAATAATTTAATTAATTGCAGGATATCAGAGTGATAAATGCACGATCCTTAAAACAGCTCCAAAAAACTTGTTCTAACGGACGAATATTACTGAGTAGCCTATTGAGTCGCATTAAGTGACCACTGCCGTCAGATCATGATGCCACAATGAGTGAACATCACTATATAGGCCTAACTTGTAATAAATCTATTCTCAGACCAGTTGTTTCCACCATGGTCAATAACTCCGCTAACCGCATGTTTGAGAACATGACGTTTTTAAGTTTCAATAAAGATTTAATACGCTCAATTGAATTTGTTCATGTCTTTGTTATTGAACATTGTTTTTAAACCGATTCAAAAGTCGGAGTAGAGAGAAAGAATGGGAATGGGAATGCGATAGAGAGGTGATGGAGCGGGTAGTGGGCGGATCCAAGGAAAATAAAATTACCGACAGTACGACTGGCGACTTAAGGACGCAAATCAGGAAGGAATGCTAACCACACATTATGCAAAAAGTGGTCTACCGTTATCATCCTTGGGCAGATGCAGGATTTGGCGGTAGGGTGCGTGAGAATCCATACAATTTTGAGAATAGGCCTATGGACCTCTAGGTGCCCAGGAATACTCCCATACTTTAAAATCTCACCGGTAATTTATATCAACTATACAATACAACAATTATTTTTCTTAATACAATTTAGGGGGTTGCAATTGCACTATCTGCACCTGCATCCGCCCTATCACCTCTATGGGTGGCACGGTTACTGCAACTGTATCATTTTGGTCTGATGTATGCCGCTAGTCTACTGTATTGATAGCTTCGTGTGCTACATTGACCGACCCCTAGGGGTGGGGGCCAGCGGGAGAGGGGATGGCAGGGCCCCTTTCGAGGAGGAAAACACAATTCGTAGGGGAGAAGATATATTTATTTTTTTAACATATTAGTAGACACTAAAAACGATTAAATAACATTTTCTAGGGGATTCGCCCTTAACTAATTTCGAGCGACGCCTGACCACGCCCACTGCGTTCACGTCGGGGAAATTCCCCTTATTCGGGAAATTCCCTTTCCTCTCTTATAAGCCTAAAAGCAAACTCGTATGTAAAATCTCCCGGAGTCGGATCTGCTCAAGACTCAAGTCTGTCAGAAATATTGGCACTAAAAATACAAACAGGGCGTATGTTGGTAGTTGCTGGGTAACGGATTTACTTTGATCTTCGTGGGCACATCTACTTCAAGACCCGGTGTTGTTTGCTCGATAAAGAAAGATAAAGACCGTACCACAGAAAACGTCTAGCGTACGACTTACATAAATTCTATCTTGACACCTTTTCATCAGCAGTTTCTCAGTAAAGGGTGTTAGTGCATGGTGCCCAGAGAAATTGCGTTTTGGTTCTTAGTCAAATTGAAACATTATTCTTCGAATGATTTTTACTTTTAATTTGTTTTAAATATGGCCTATTTGTAATAGGCCTATTTTATTTTTTCTCGCGGGCCGGATGAAATTTAGCGGCGCAGGAGGCCTACTGCTAAGCCCGT